ACTCTCGGTGTGTGCTGCGGTTCTTCCACACAAAAGTGGGGGTCTCCTGATTAAACAAAACCCGAGCCGATATCCCAAGCCGATATTTGGATGATGCCCTTAATAACGTGCTTTAACTTCTGGTCAGCCCTGAAGTGGTCAGGCAGTTGGGCTAGGCGATCGTCGTAGGTCCCTTCCAACTGAAATATTCTGTTTCTATTCTATTTCTATTCTGTTCTATCCCCCACCAGTGCTGCGGTGCCAGCCCGCCGCCTCGGGGTGTCCGAGCAAGTCACTCCGTTCGAACCGCTCGCTTTGTGGGTTCGCAGCCTCCGGACAGCTCTGCTGTTCGTGCTGTCCCGGGGGAATTGCTTTGCTTGACCAGGGAGCCTGCGGGCTCGCGGTGCCGCTTCCGCGGCCCAGCGCTTTGTGCCGGGTCCTGGCAGGGGTCACCGCTGCGGACCCCTTGCCTGCATCGAACCTGACTTTGTCCCCTGAGCCACCGTTTTTGGTAACAAGGCAGAGCTGCTGCCTGATCCTGAGAGGCTTTAATTAAAGGCGGGAAGCCCTGCGCAAGGGGATGCTCCTGGGAAGGCTGGCCTCTCTCGTTAAGCCCTAATTCGCTTTGTGCCACTGGATGAAGAAGTGATTTATTTAAAAGGATTCCCTGTCCTGTGCTCCTGTCTCAAGTCCTACAGGGCAGGGCGCAGGCCGTTTGCCTGTTACTGAGGGTTTGCACAGGAGCGTGCAAATATGATGCTCAGCCTGCTCCTTTGTTTCCTTTCAGAGTCCTCCCTCTCCCGGGGAAGAAACAAAGCCGGCCCTTGTGCGGGCTCCAGCGTGGCTGCGGCGCCTTTGAGGGCAGCTGCTCTCCGAGAGGCTAATGAGACCCAGCGGGGTTCAGGCTGTGGTTCGGGGCATCGTGGAGGGAACAGGCGGTGAGTAGGGTGCTCTGACGCTGCTCTTGGCTTCCAGTGTCGCAGATTAAAAGAGAGCGTGATGATGTGTCTGAGACGTTTCATCCCACGAGAGGCCCGGGAAAGGCAGTGCCATCACAGCGCTGAAATGGGAAACAGCTTTTGTCAGGCCAAGCTGACTCCTCAACGCTCACGCAGGTTTTGCCTCTGACTGTGCTGATCTCCCAAACTGCAGATGCCTTTAGTTCGTTGTCATGTCCAGACTGAAAGCATCCAAACTCATTTAGTCTGTTTATGCCTCCGTGGGGTTGTACCTTGTGTGCATACGGCGCGGGGTTCGTTCCGAGGAGCTGCGCTGGTGCCGGTTCGGTGGGAGCCGTACTCAGTGCTGGGCTGTGAGTAGCTGCAGGTGGAGTGAGACCCGCACTGGTCTCGCTGGGCTCGGCAGCCTTGCTCCCCTGCTTTCCGTTTTCCTGCTGGGGAGGGAAACTGTTGCTCTCTAAAAGCTGAATCCCGCAGTTCCTGGTGCCAAAGCTTCCTCCAGCCAGTACCAACCTGATGACACCATGCAAGCATGACCTCCCTCCGCCTTTTGGCTCATACACCTGTCTGTAGAAGTTGTTTTCCAGTATCAAAGGTCTTGGACAATAATTTTTCCTCTTCTTTCATTAAGCCCAGGTGTCTCCTGAAGGATGCTTGGTTTAAAGAGAGTAATAAAAGCTAGAAATCCGATTTTTGGCCAGAAACATCTGGCTTCAGCCGAAACCGGCCCTGCCGTTTGCTGTCAGTCTGAGCTGATCTTGGCTTTCTGCTGGTGTAGCAGGTGGCGCTGGTGCTGAAGCAGCAGCTGTGGACTGGAGAAAATGCGACGCGGTTGCAAAGATCCTGGCTTCCTGCCCGCAGCAGTGCCTTTCCCTCGAGGACTACTACAGGCTGGTGTGGCCCCAGGTAGGGCCCTCTCTCCCCGCAGCACGCCGGCTCTGGCTGGGAACGCGGAGCTGGCTCCTGGCTTGGGGAGTGTCAAGTACAAGTACTGTACTTCTGCTTAAGCGCGGGCCTGGCTCGAGCCAGGACAACGTGGAGATGTTTTCCTGCTGCTCTGGCAGTGGGACGTGTTTCCACCCTACTCTTGAGTTTTCCGTATTTGATTGAAATGCTGGATAGTGTTGCCTGATCGCACGAGCTGTTCGGCGCTGCACTACGAGGAGCTCTCTGCTGTGGAGCTCTTGCTTCCAGCCTTTGGCGATGGGAGCGGTGCAGGCTCTTGGTTTGAGCCCAGAAACGCATCCTGCGTCAGCGTGTGCATGGGAAGGAGGCCGGCTCTTCCATACGTGGAATGTCGTGCCAAATGTCCGGCAAAGCGGCACACGGGAGGAGGCTCCTCAGTCTCTGCTGTTGGCTGCAAGGAGTCGGCCTGCCCCGCTTCCTAAGGGGCTGCTGATCTTTGTTCCTTTATCGTGGACTTTTCCTTCCAGATTCTGGACTTGCTGCACATCCCGGACAAAGTGACAGCGCGCCAGTTCCAGCGAGTGGCCACCACAACGCTGCTCACCATGGCGAAAGAGCACCCTCAGCTGGCAGAGAAGCACCTGCTCCAGCCCCTGTTGGCGCCGCTCCTGCGGTGCTCGGAGACGGCAGGGATCCGCTGGTCTCTGCCGAGCCCCAGCTCGCAGAAGAGTCTGGTTTCTCTTCTCGCTGATCTTTGTCTTTCCATCAGAATTTTCTCAGGGGGTGGTGGCTGGGCTGCTGAGCCTGCAAGCCCAGCTCTGTCAGTTGTGAACGTGTCCGTGTGGCTGGGTGCACCGTATTTACTAGCACTTGAGCCAAATTACTATAGTGTAAGAGCCAAGTAGTGGGGTTTCTGCCATTTGTTCTTTGGGAAATTCTCCAGTCTGACAGTCTCGTTTTGGGCTTCCGGACGGAAGCCATCGGTTCCCCACGCTGACCGAACAGCTCTCCGGGGAATAATCCATCAGGAAGTTGTGGTCTGCTTTGATTTGCTTGTAACCTTGCAGAGTTTACGACACTGCAGTGATATTTAGCGCCGCTAACGAGGGCTCATCGGCTCCCATGCTGCCCTGATAGAAGGGAGGGAAGGCAAGAGAACTATCAAAGTGCTTTCTGGTGCCGGGCATGGTGGGGTTGCCGTTCTACTGGAGACCCCTCAGTATGTGGGGGTGCTGATACTTCTGCCCTTTGTTTTCAGAGCTAGCAGTGGAAGATTTATCAGCAGGGACGGTGCTGGTGACAGAGGCAGAGCTCGGCAGCTGTGTGGAAGATGTGCTCAAGGTATCATGTCTGATTTGGGCCTGAGGGTAAGGCAAGAAAACTACTCTTAAGAAAGAGCTGGTTTGAGACTTCCTGAGCAGTTCAGTGTGTGTCTTAGACCATGACAAAAACCAGCGCCTCCTGCAGTCGTGATGCTGAGGCGAGGCCGAGAGCTGCACAGAATAACCTTGTATGCAGCACTGCACTTGAGGGGCTGCAGCTTTATGCTGGATACCAGAGGCACTGCCTGAATCCTTTCAAGCATTCTCACCCCAAAATGTTCTGCGAGATGGCAGTGAGCTCTTGCTGGTTGTTTTTTCCCAGTCTTCCTGGTGTGTCAAAGTAAGAAGAGTCTGAGCAGTGGGCTGGTAGCCAGGAGTCTCCATGGTGCTCTCATATCCTCTTTCTCCATGAGCTGCGGCAAGACTTTCTGAGCATTGCTAAATTGCCCAGCTTCTACAGGACCGTTGTGCCTGGGTGTACTGTCAGAGCAGCTTCAGGACTGGGGCTGCGATCGTAGAGCAGGTGACAGTAGAGCGGGCGGGAGGTCCTAGTCAGGAGTACCGCTGGCCTGGCACGTGTTGCCTCAGGCTGTCGATCCCTGTCCGAGATGATGGTGCTCACCTACCAGCATCAGAGGCGTGCAGCTGGTCAGAGGGAAGGGCGGATCGCAGGGAATCCCGTACGTGCCGAATCTTCAGAGGATGCCTCAGCTCTCCTCCCAGGCTGTCGCTGGCCCACCGTCTTCTTAGTGCCTCCATGCCTCAGTTTCCTTCCTGTAGAGCATACGGCTCATACTGAGCCCACGGTTACCCGTGTGGGAGGGAGAACCTGCTGGGAGCTGCTCTCCCTGCTTCCAAGGTCTGCAGAGGGCAGCCTGAGCCAGAGTGCTGGAGCTGGAAGCCTTTCTACAGCTCCTGCAGCATTAACCCCTCACGGCAGAGTGGGTGGCAGCCAGCTCTTGCGTTGGGCCAAAATGCTTCCGAATGAATGACCTGGAAAAGAGGGCGCTTGAGGTATCGGCAGGCGGCCGGCTGTGCTGGACTGCTCAGCCCTGCAGTGAGGGCAGCTTGGCAGAGCCCCCGGCTCGTCGCTCGGTGGTTGTGCAGCCAGTTGGCAGCGAGGCATTCGCAGTGGGCGCTATGAAGCGAGCAGATTCGGTGTGGCTCTGAGGCTGCTGAGCTGTCACCGGGGTGAAAAAGAGAGTGAAGGCGAGCTCGGAGGCATCGCAGAGCCGCGGGAAGAGGTGGGAGAGCTGTCGCAGTTATCCTGGTGGCTGCTGTTTGGAAGCAGAGAGCATGTGGGTAGGGGGGAAAGGGGAGGGTGGGCGGCAGCGCAGCCGCAGGGGAGGTGCTGTTAGTGGCTGTGTCCTCACCTCAGGTGTCCCAGAAATGGGGGGACACACTGCAGCTGGTCCCCATTGGGTGTCCCCAGCGGCTCATCTTCCCCTGCTGATATCTCTCAGGGGGCTAAAGGCATTACAGCCTAGTCCCATTGGACAAGTAAGGTAAATTGATAATGATAAGTAAGGAAAAACGAGCAGCCTGGTTTGCAGGGACCATTCTGAGCTGAACCCCGTGACACGTGGGTTTCCGTGTGCATGAAGTTAATTTTAAAACCGCGGGTGGGTAATCCTTCAGCAGCTGCTGCTGGGTGTCCAGCCACCTCCTCTGCTGCCCTGCCCTCCGGAGCTGCTCTTGGTGCAGGACAGTACCTGGAGGCGGCGGTGGGGCCTCGGAGCTGGTCTGTGTGCCTGGCTGCCGAAGCAGGAGGGATTGCTGAAGCTCAGCAGCTCTCCCAGCCCGACGTTCAGGCCCCGATCAGGTGCTGGGAGATGGGGAGGGTTCAGGCGAACGGAAGGAAACTTGGGTCTCATCGGAGGAACGCTCTGGCTTTGCCAATAACAGAGCACCTTCCATGGTAGAAGAAGTGTCTTGTGGGCAGGACGGTGCAGATTTAGCACCTTCTGTGGAGCTCCTTCCTGCAAGGCGTCCCTTGCAGCGACGAGCAGGGCGTTCAGCAGCGCAGATCTTGGCTCTGGCGTTTGGGGGAGAGGCGGGGTCCGTTCTTGTGCTCCCTATGAAGGGACAGGGCTCTTCTGTGGAAGCCGCTCTTCTGAAACATTTCCTCATCGCTCCTTTTTCTGCCGTTCCCACCAGTATCACCAGTGCCGCTCTTCAGGCTTCGCTGCCTGCCCTGACAGCAGCCCAGCTTTCTGCTGCGCGTTCCAACCCAGAAGGACATCTCCAGCCCAGGAATTCAATTTTAAGAAGCTGGTGACTTGCTTACTGGCATGCCCCTAGGCAGGCTAAGCTCTTAAATGCTGTGATTGTTGTAGTATTTTGCGTGGTAATGATCTGTTGTAACTAGCTGGCAGGCAGAGACCAGTCTGGAGGGCTGCTCTGTGGCTGCCGTTCACAATGGGAGTGCTGGGGGAGTGTGGGGCGGATCCCTCCTTAATGGCATAGCGCTGGAGGCTTGACAGCAGCCAGATTAGCGACGGAGACTCCAGCCTGGGGATTTGCGGGGGTTTCTTGCCTAGCAAGTGTCATTTGATGCTGAGTGGGAAACCATCCTTGGGGCTTCATCAGGGAGGCTTTGTGTACAAAAGGTTCTGGTTAGGAAGAATGGCTCCACGGGGATTAGCACAGGAAAAAAGGTCTGTTTGCATCAATACAGGAGGGCAGAACGTTATCAGGACAATCTCCCTCCTAGCCCTCCTACCTGGGTTGTCACGCTGCCTCCAGCAGGTAGAAGCTCTTTGGTCTGTCCCCAGGGCACTTCCAGCCCTGGAGCAGGCGGATTGCTCTCCAGCCGCCGAGGTCGGAGGTGTGGGGAGCGCTCTGGTGTGAAGGGACAGCATCTTCTGAGCAGGTAGTTCACCAGCTGACACAGCTGGAAGTCCCTTGGAGAACCTGTGAAGAGACTTTATCCCCCTCCCCCCCCCCTTTTTAAAGCTAAAAGCTATGGAGGAAGATAGAGCCTGCTAAAATGAGGACCTGAACACAACAACCCTGAGTAAACCCTGAGTCCAGCTGGGCAAGGCTTGGTATTTAACCATTTTCTAGACCGTTTTCCCAGCATATTATGGCTTTGACTGAAAGCATCCTACATGGCTTTTAGTTTCGGACAATTCCTTTAAAAGGGTTCAGAAGGAAACATAATGTCGTAAGACTTCTGTGAGTGTTTTTCCTGTGCTCTGTGGGCAGCAAGGTAGGACTTGTATGTGGTGAGCTGGTAACAGTGGCTTGCCTGGGAGGGGGTTGCTGGTTTCGTGAAGGAGGGCATTGACAGTGATTCGGGAGGGTGCTGCTTGAGATGGGGGAGAGGAGCACGGCCCTACAGCCTCCTCAGAGCACCTGCAACCCACTTGCTCAGCTCAGCACACGTCAGCCCAGCTGCCCTGCTAGGGACTGATCTCTCTATTTGAGATTTGGCTCTAAGTGCAGTATTTCCATAAAGATTTGCTAATTCAAAGGTGCCTGTTGCATCTCTCTGTAAGACAAGACCTTACCACTAAGCAGCAGACTTCCTGAATAGCTAGCTGCAGTGTTCCTGTAGCTTGGAGCCCTGCTGTGGTTAAACAAATGCTAGGAGAAAGATGGTGCTGAAGGCTGCTTTAAATACAGAACATGGCATAATCAGGGAAAACAGGCTCCAGACTGAAAGGAACAGAGGCTGAAAACCGTCCTCCCTGGCGGCAGCCGTTCTGCGCAGGGACGTGCTTTCTGTCCTTCCCTTTGCCTTCCCTCTGCTCCGCGCAGGTGTCTGACTCTCCTCCCGTGTGCCCTTCTCTCCGTAGGTGTATGTGGTTGGAAATGACAGCTCGAGCCTGCTGCTGGGATCCTTACAGTCAGTCCTGGGAGTGGTTTTTTCCCTCTATTCCTTCGCCAAGCAGAATGTGTCATACTTACGGTAAGGAAGGATTGTGCACAGCTTCTTCTGGTGTTTCATCTTCTCTCTTCTGCCCACCTCCAAAGGACGTGCTCTACATGGGCACGTACAGAAGCCGAGACCAATTTTCTCACCCTGAAAAGCTCTCGTTCAAAGTAGGCAGTAACCGCAGGCATAGGCACGGTACACGACCTTACTGCCAGACCTGTGCCCGAGGAAGCAGTTCTCGCGTTAGTTTTTTGTCTTCCCTGAAGCCAAAATGTTCAGTGTAGAGGCAAGCGTGCCCCGCGGGAGCTTTGGGAGCTCAGGTTAACTCTTAGTGCCCGCCTAGGAGCAGGGATTGTGATTGTCTGTGGACAGAGGTGGTGATGCTGGGACCTGGCCGGGTGTCAGAGGGATCTGTGTACCGGGGATTTAGAAACAGGATAAAAACTGGATAAAACAGCTTGAGCACTGGCTCTTGGAAATACAAGATCATTATTCTCTGATCTGGGATCACTCTCTCCCGATATGTGCTGGACCTGCCTCTCGGCAGTTGTCCCTCGTGCTGTGCCCAGCTCCCCCGCGACTGATGGACGATGGTAAGCACCACGTGTGTCAGTCACGGTGGCAGGGACAGTGGTGACGAGGTGCTGGCTGTCCTCTCTCCTCCCAGGCTTCCCCTGGGCTGCCCTGAGTTTGGGCCAGCCTAGTAAATACGCTCCTGGTGGGTTTACGCTTTGCTTTGGCGATACTGGCACGTGGGTACTGGAGGCTTTCCCTAAAAGGACTGTGTAGACACGGCCCCTGCTCTGCTATTATTAAAGACATCGTTAATCACTTTGAAGAGTAGTGAGTACAAGTTCGTAGAACAAGCCAAGCTAACACTGCTGCTGGGTGAACAGAGTCGCTGCTCGCTTCTGTCTTTGCAAAGGAATTTGGCAGGGGTAACTAAAACCACAGCTGCCTGGAAGTGTTTGGGTTTCCAGACCCTTGGCACAGCGCTGCTACTCCACCTCATTAACCTGGCTCTTTCCTTGGCGGGGGTTTCTGTGCCACCTTACAGTGCTCCCCGTCTCCTTCCTCCTCTTCCTTGGCACAGCTGGCAGCTCTGTGCTTTGTCAGGTTGGCGTGAAGCACCAGGCACGGCTTGCCGAGGCTGCGTGGAAGTGGCTGTCCTTGTACAGACATGCTGTTCAGAGTGCTCCCTTCCTTGCTGGGCTGAAATCTTGAAGGACCCAGATCCTTCCATCTGGGAACGCCAGAAGGACGGGATGTGCTGCTGATCCCCTTATAAACTGGCACAAAGGCCTTCAGCTGCCAGAGCTGTCGGCCCAGAGCATCCCAAGGAGTGTCCGTGGTCGCTCCAGAGCACTCTTGTCTTTTCCCTCGCCCCGAGACGCGTGCTCCCGTTGCAGTGCTGGTGTGCAGGGAGGGGTGCAGCGGGCAGAGCAAGGTCACCACTGCTTTCTCTCTCCTTGCCAGCTCCCCGTGCCAGGAGATCCTGCTGTGGTTCTTGGAGAAGTCGGAGCGAGAGGTGTCGCTGGCCGTGCTGGAAGGCTTTGCAGGGCTGAACAGCAGCGTGCACGCCCTCCACCCGCGGTGCCGGTTCCGCGCAGGCAGCGAGGGTGGTGCCAGCATCGCGGTGGAGGAGACCATCAGGTGAGCGCTGTTGGGGCAGTGCCGGGCATGGAGGGCAATCCCCAGGCATCAATTCAGCACGTAGGGCTTTTCACGGCATGCCTGGCAGAGAGAGCCCAGGCGAGCGTGGGGCTGCTGGTGCCGTCCTACCACGGTCTCGTCCCGCCGGGCGCCCAGGCTGTCTGCGCTGAGCTCGGGCAGGCGATGCCTCCACAGAGCCTCCAGGTTCCTCGTACGTGGCACAGAGCTCTGACTTTAAGCCCTGAAAAGCAGCACGCTCTGTCTGAGCGTTAGTGTGTGCTCTCTGTGTGCTTTTCCCGAGCCCCGAGTCCTGCCTGCGGGGTGTCTGGGAATGGGACGTGCTCCTTCAGTCCCAGCGCTCCCCAAATTCAGCATCCACCCTCCAGCCTGGGCCTGTCTCGTGGCAGATCGCGGCTGCGTGGAGCGAGTGGAATCCCTCGGGCGCAGGTGGCACCGTCGCAGCAAGGACTCTAGCGATGCCAGTGTGGTGGAGCCAGCGACTGAGCTCCCCTCCTGCTCTTGCAGATGGTCTCTACAAGTAGAGGCAGAGCGTGGCCATGTGGGGAATAAACTGCAGCCATTAGACTCCAGCCACGCAAACTGGGACTGTTCAGCAGCGTGACATTTGGTTTAAAGAGGGGTGGCTGTTAGCTGGCAGGTACGAGCCCAAGGCAGTGCTATCGAGCAGGCAGAGCACACAGCTCCTGCCCGGGAGCGTCCGCAGAGTTGGGTGCACCCGTAACAAAACCCCGTACAAATACGCTTGTTTTGGTTTCATTTCAATCTATTCCTGACCTGAATTAGAAGAAGGTCTGCCCCAGGGTCTGCACTGGTTAAACTGGGTATTCTTTAAAATTACTCCTTAACGGCCCTGGCTCTGCCCGTGTCTGTCCTACTTCTATGGCTGTGACCACTGCATGAATTAGCCAGCGCTAGTCCCGTTCTTTATAGGACGGCTGGATTAAATGTGTGTTTTGCACTCATGGTTTCTGTTAATGTTATTCCTTTAATGAATGCAGGTTAATTAATAAACTGAGTGCGTGGTCACGTAGACCAAATTAACTGAGCAATAGTTTGGCTCAGTTGCCTCCGGGCTTCCATTCTCTGGTAGTGCTGGGAAGGCTGGTGCTGGGAAGGAAGGTTTCCAAGAGAAGGCAGAAGAGGGGTTTCACCTTGCCATGGAGTAGTTTAGGGCCAGCCCTGGAGGGCGTCTGGGTACGTTCGTGTTGGTGACACGGTGACCTGTTTCAGCGATGAAGATGAGGCCCTCTACCAAAAGGTTTCCTCGGAGCAGTGCCGTGTGGAGAGCTTGGTGGAGCTCTTGTCTCACTGCCAGGAGAGTGGTCTAGCTGGAGACTTCTTCATCTGCTGCCTGAAGGTAAGGGCAGGCAAGTCTCTGTTTGGGGCACATCTGCAGGAACGGTTTCCCTGGGCCAAGCCGTCTGCGTGGCAGACGGCAAAGGAGACCGAGGGTCCCCTTACGTGCCTCGGGAGCACTGAGCCAGGGTACGGCACGCGGTGGAGCGGTCCTGCTGTGTGCTGGGCAAGAGAGCCTGGGAGAGGGAGGCAGCCCTGGTCCCTGAAGGGGTTAACCCTCATTCCCCTGGGCTCTTTCGACACCAGGAGCATGTCTGAAGTTTAATGGTGTGTTTGAGGCTGTGAATAATCCCTGTTGCTTCCTTGGCTCTAGCGGGGCACCTGCTCCCTTTGATGCCGCTCCGAGCCCCTGCGGTTCCCTCCTGGCCTTGCCTGGGCTGGGCTGCGCTTTCTGTGCCCTTGCTGGCAGGTAGAGCCCTGTCCCGTAGTCGTGCGGGGTTTGCAGCACCCTGGGTGTAGGGACGCTGCTGTGACACGGGTGGGAGACCCAGGAGCCGTGGGCAGCTCTCGGAGACCTTGAGGTACCGAGTGGAACGTCCTGGTCGCGTGAGGCGTCTAGCACGAGCTCTGCAAAGGGGACGGGGGCTCCAGCTGCCTTTGTGAGCAGCCACTGCCAAAAGCAAGGCTGCAAGCAGAGACCCAGTGAGCCTGACAGCCCAGAAGATGGTTGGCCCTAGGAGAAGTGCTCGGTGGTGCTCTGTGTGGTGTCCACGGGGACGGAGGTTTGCGAGGGTTTGGCCTGCTGACAGGCGTGTGTGTGGAAGGGGATGAGGCTGGAAGAGGGGAGGTAACCGGGAGCCCTTTGCAGCAGGGTAGAGGTGTGGGTAACGCGGACCTGCTGCACCCGGGACCACTGGCGTGGTGACCGCGGTGTTCCTGGCACTGGTTTGCCTGTATTTAACCATTGCCTCTCCGTGCCCTGTGCTTCCTTCCCGGCAGGCGCTGACTTGCGTGGCTGCGGAGGACGAGGCGGCTTCAAATTTGGCTGCAGTGCCTGGAGGGAGTCTCCTGGAGCTGGAACAGTACCACGCCGGGCAGAGGAGGAAGCTGCTGGTCCTGCAGCTCGTGGCCACGCTGTGCGAGAGCGTCTCGGACACCGTGTTCACAGACGTTGCTCAGGTTGGTCATGGCAAAGCCCTGGGGGATCGGCGGCTGGAGCGTGTGGCAGACCAAGCTCTGGGCCGCTGGACTCGAAGGAGACAATGGCTAAGAAACAGCTGGAGGAAGCTAGAGCATCCCCGGGAAAAGCAGTTTATTGATTCAGTTGCAAGTGTCTCAACAAGACACCGTCCCATGCAGTGCCGGCAGGAAGGACAGAGTCAGCTGCAGAGGCAGGAGGGAGCAGCCCAGCAGACATCTTCGTATTTGTGTCCGTGGTTGTGTGTTAAAAGCCAAGAGAGTAGAATCATAGAATCATTAAGGTTGGAAAAGACCTCTCAGATCATCGAGTCTGTGTGTTAATCAGATCTCTGACTTGCCAGCTTCTCATCTTTATTTTCAGCAAAATTTGCTCCCAGGTTTAACAAAGCTTAAAGACATCTGTATCCGGCAGACCTTTTTAAGCAAGTGCTTGCGACTTCTCCGTGGTGTTGGTGCCTGGTTTTCCTGGCACATCTCAGCAGCCACCTCCGGGAGCCGCGGTAGCTGGGCTGTCAGCCGGACAAACATGGCACGGCGCCGCCACCGCGTCCCGCTCGCCCCGCGTCCCCAGATAGGCCGTTCGTGGCTTTTCTCTGGTTTCTGCTGCTGGGACACCCACACCGGGTGGTATGTGCCGTCGTCAGGGTTGGCGTAACTGTGCCTACGCGGTCGGCACTTGTCCGTGTCTTGATGAACGGGCAGCCGCAGAATTTATTAAATGCTGTAATTTCAAAGGCCAGCTGGGGCTCCTTCAACCTGGTACCGAAAAGGATGGTTAAAATATGGCACTTCTGTCCGCCCTGAGCCCACGCTGCAGCAGCGCTGAAGGGGGGGCCGGCTGTCCTGCACCGTGCCAGGTTGGGAAGGCCGTGGGGCGCCGAGGGCGGCGCGGTACGCCCCAGTCAATCAATGTATTTTAACCTCCTCATCCTGTTTTGCTTTGTTTATTTAACTCGGTGACCTGGTTATGCCAGTTAACTGTGACTGGCTTGAGCGGAGGCGGTCACTGCTAACGCAGGTTTCCTCACTTTTCTCTTTGGGACTCACTGCTAAGGTTTCCTCACTTTTCTCTTTGGGACAAAGGAGTCTTTGTCTGCGCTCTGCAGTGACAGAGGGGACCCAGCCAGTGTCATTGTGGCGCCCGCGCCAGCGCTGCTTTGTCCTCACCTGCCTCTCCCTCGCACCCACCCGCGCGGGGCCGGCTCCGCTCCCTGGGTCGGAAAGTTGGGATGGGAAACGGGGGAAGGATTTTGCCAGGTTTCTGGGTCCAGTCGTGAGTCTAGTATAGAAAGAAACAGCCACCAGAAAAGAACCCCAGACAAAAAAAGCCATTATGCTTCCACCTGGGGGTTGTATTTCAGGGAGCGCTCCCCCGGGCTGGGACAGCAGCTGCAGAGCTGGTTTTTAGGTGGGTTCTGCAGCACAGGGTTCCTCCGGGGCGTTGGTTCTTGCTGTGGGCACTCCGGAGCGTGGCTTTGTGCATAACGGGGTCGGAACAAGCGGGATCCTTCTTCCCAAAGCCAGACCCCGGGAACGGCGGCAGCTGTGGACCCCCTCACTTGCACAATTTACTTTATTTACATTTCCCCCCCCCTCACAACCGAGTTTCATGAGATTGACTTGATTTCCTTGATACGCCAAGGATGCTCTCCTCCTGCATGAGACAGAAACGTGCCCCAGTGTTTTATTTATCGAGCTTTTTTTTTCCCCTTCCAGATCAAGGTGTTTTTTTTTTTTTCTTTCTAGATTAGGGTTCTTTTTTAACTTTTTGTTTTTCTCAGTAGCTATCTACTGATAGATTATTTATTCCCGATGTTCCTTTTTTTTTTTTGCATTAAATATAATTTCAACCCATTCGGCTTGTGTGTCACTGTTTTGGGAGAGCAGATGTTCTGACACTTGTTTTTACTTTCTTGCTGTTTGACGGCATTTCTTTTCTGGACTAAGCAGCCCAGAAGGTACCTAAGGCTTTTCTGCAGCCCCTCCCAGCCAGCCTCCCTCCTCGCTGCAGTAGGGATGTGCTTAACGAAGCTGGCAGCCATCAGCTCTCCTGCTGATGAGGAAACGCGTTGCCCGCACCCGGCGCCTGTGCCCTGGAGGCTGGAAATGTGGTGGTTTGGTGCGATAGTACCTTGTTGCCCTCGTACTTCGTTTTCCAAAACGGGAGCAAAACGGTTCCTCTTCTTTTGCAACGCTCCTGTAGGAACGACCCCGACCCAGCCCCTTCCCA